CCACAATTTTATCGATAATTCTGGATATTCTTAGAATCCATATAAAAGTCCAGTCCCTGTTTGAATCCTGCTAAGTACTTGTCCTCACTGAGTTCCTGAGGGTATGCCTATATTACAAGCGCTACAGCTGCACTGCTGCAGCTATGCCATGGTAGCGCTGGCAAGTATACACTTATTACAGCGACAGAAGGGGTTCTCCCATCACTGTAGTTAATCCACCCCCTCAAGAGGCAGTAGCGAGGTTGACAGAAGAATTCTTCTATCAACCTAGCGCTGTCTACATGGGGGCTTAGGTCGACATCTCTCATGGGGGTGAATTTTTCACACCCCTGAATGAGGTAGCTAGGGCGACCTAAGTTTTAGGGGTAGACCAGGCCTGAGACAATGAGTTCCACAGTCTAATTACACATTGTGTGAAAAAGTATTTCCTTTTATCAGTTTTGAATTTGCCATTGTATAATTTCATTGAATTTAGGCATCAAAATAAGCATTGAGATTTTCAAAAATGCTCAGTGTGCTGGATCCTGAACTCTTTGGGAAATCTGGCCATAAGTGGCAATGAAGCTGCTGAGCACTTTAGAAAATCTGGCTCTTATTTAGGTGCTGTGAGAGGGGTGTAAAAACCCCACATGAGAAAGGCAGGTGTGAAATAGCAGACATGGGTTCACTTAGTCCTACCCCACTACATCTGGGCTTTGTGAGGCCTGCGAGGTTGACTTAAAAGGAGGGAAAGGGCTGATGGGGAAGAAGAGTAGACAGGCAGCTCCTGTGTGGGGCAAGAAGCTGGGCTGGGGGCAGGAGCTGTCTGGTGACTGCAGCCTGTTTGAACCCTTTGGTAGGAGGGTGAACTGGATTGTTGGTTTGATTGAAGCCCAAGAACCTGTTGTTGGTTGTTGCTGCTTACCCCACCCCTGGAACGTTCCTCCATGCTCCCCTAAGGGGGCACACCTCACAGTTTGAAAACCTTTGTGTTAAGGTTTCTGAGCTGTACCTGTTGTCTTTTTTCCCCTGCTATTTCTTTCATCTTCCGCCACTTGTCTCTTCTTCTAACTTGAGCTCCCGGTCTTTAAAGCCTTGTCTACAGTCATGATTTGCCCTGATTACAGCCATCAGAGGCCAGCTATTAGGGTAGCTACAACTGCACAATCCCTTGGCAGAGACAGTAAGACATTAGCAATTCTGTCCTGTCTACACAAATTGTTTGCACTGGTGCAGCTACACTGGTGGCTGCATCACTGATGGCTGTATCTAGGGAAAATCCCAGTGCAGACAAGCCCTAAATGAAGGTCTGTTGTTGTCAACGAAGAGAGGGCAGGCAGCCATTATCATTCTGCTGGACTTCTCTGCAGCATTTGACACGGTGTACCAAAAGAGATTGCTGCCTCACCTAGATAGCAGGGATCCAGGGTAATGTGCTAAAATGGTATGAGCTCTTCCTGGAGGGACACACTCAGTGGGCAGTGATGGGGAAACTGCACCTTCATTACTAGACCCCTCACATGTGAAGTCCCATGAGGATCAGTTTTCTCTCAAGACCTATTCAACATCTATGTGCAACCAGTAGGTGAACTAATACGACAACACGGATTCAAGTGCCAGCAATATGCAGATGACACACAGTTCTTACCTAACCTTTACCACGTATGACTATGCCACTTCTACCAATATGGTTCAGTGCTTGGATGAGATCAGTTCATGGATGAGGAACAGCTGGTTGAAGCTGAACCCAAGAAAGACAGAGGTTATGCTGGTGGGCAGAGGAAAGCACTTTGAGGAGTTTAGAAGATATAGTGCAATCTCTTTTGGTTGAAGGTACACACCAGCAGTTGGTCAATTCAGTCTGTAGTTTAGGTGTGCTCTTGGACTAGAAGACTGGAGTAACAGAAATGGGATGAAATTCAATAGTATAAAGTGTAAGGTCATGCACATAGGGTCTAATAAAAAGAATTTCTGCTATAGCTGGGGGCTCATGATTTGGAAGTGACAGAGGAGGAGAGAGACCTGGATGTGTAGGTTGATCACAGGATGACTATGAGCCACTAATGTGATGTGACTGTGAAAAAGGCAAATGTGATCCTAGGATGCATCAGGTAAGGCATTTCCAGTAGAGATAGACCCATTAATGCCATTGCATAAGGCACCGGTAAGAGCTCCTTTGGAATACTATGTACAATTCTGATCACCCATGTTCAAGAAAGATGAATTTAAACTGGAACAGGTGCAGAGAAGAGCTACTATGATGCTCAGGGGAATGGAGGGCCTAACTTATGAGAGAAGAGTGGAAGAGCTTGGCTTGTTTAATCTAGCAAAAAGAAGGTTGAGAGAGGGTAGGATTGCTCTCTCTCTAAATACATAAGGGGGGTATATACCACGGAGGGTGAAGAGCTATTTAAGCTAATAGACAATATTGGCACAAGAACAAATGGAAATTCACTGGCTATGAACAAATTCAGGCTGAAAATTAGAAGAGGTTTCTAACCGTCAGAGGAGTGAGATTCTGGAACAGCCTCCCAATAGGAGTTTTGGGGGCAAAAAAACTTAATTAGTTTTAAAAGAGAGATGGATAAATTTAGGAGTGCAATTGTGTGACGAGGTGGCTTGTGGTGGTAGGGTGCAGGGCTCAACAGCCCGGGGCCTCACTTTTGGTTTATATCTTATGTTCCTAAAAACTAATGCTTCAGGGTTTCAGTCAGCCACTTGCAAGGGTCAGGAAGGGATTCTCTCCCCTGCCCCCACAGTGTATTTCAGAGTTGTTTTATCTCCTTCCTCTGAAGCATCAGGGATGGCCACCAAGCATTCTCTCTGTCTCTCAGGTACTTGGCTGGCTGGTTCTTGCTCACATGCTCAGGGTCTAACTGATTGCCATATGTGGGGTCAGGAAGGAATTTTACCCAGGTCAGTTTGGCAATGACCTGGGGAGGGGGGGTTAACTTCCTCTGCAACATGTAGGTGCAGGTAACTTGCAAGTTTTATCTGGGTACATCTCCCGTAATCATTTCCCTGTCTTTGCAGGGGGCCTCAAGCACTGGTGTACCTCAGTCCCTCCTAATTATGTGCCTGTGGCACATAATAGTCTAGTCTCTGTCTTGTGGGCTACAATAGTTTAGTCTAATTTCAGTTGTTGGGTTTAGTGTGCAAGTGGCGTTGGTGGCCTGTGATATATAGGAGGTCAGACTAGATGATCTGATGGCTCCTTCTGGCTGTAAACTCTACGATGCCTCACTGACATTAAGATTTCACATAGCAGCCTCCATCAGTAATGCTTTCGACCATCTCCAGTTGGCTAGCAGACTTTGTCCCATCCTGGCAGACAATGACCTCACCTAATATATTCACACCTTTGTCATCTCTTGGCTGGACTACAGTAATGCACTATACAGGGACAAGAAGCCTTCAAAGATTAGGAAACTCCAGTTGGAACCAAACACTGAAGTGCATATCTTCAGCAATACAGGCTGTGGCAAACATCAAACCTATCCTCCACTCTCTACATTGGTTTCCCATAGAACACAGAATCAAACTCAAGATCTAGGTCCTTATCTTCAAGGCACTAAATGGCATGGGGTCAGCATATCCAAAACACCACCTAAAGCTCCCTATCAAGGTCGACAATTCCACTCCTCTGGCACAATGGAACTTGCTACAATAAGGTAAAGCTTGTCTGTACAGGAGACAGCACTTTGTGTGTGTGTTGGGGGGGAATATATATATTTGACCACTCCACGAGCTGGTCAAAAATCAGTACATTTTTTCTATTGTCAAGAATTTCTGAAGTTTTCACACAAAAATTGTTGAAACTTTGAATATTTTCAAGCAACTCTGCTCACAGGTATTATTGTGGTTATTGGAGGCACTCAGAGTTAAACAAATGTAACCAAAACAGTTGGAGGGATGATATTTGCTATCAGAATGTAAAATGGAATGAGAGCTATAAAGTTCAAACAAAGCTTGTGCCCGATTTCATACAAAGACCTACATGTGACTTCATTTACTATAAGTAAAAAGAGAAGCGAATGTTCTTATATTTTAGCTAAATATTTCTCCATAAATAGAGATCCTGAGTCATAAAAATAGCAGATGTGCTCTTTATGCAACTTGACATATTTTGTAAGAATGGTAGTACACTAGTATTTTACATGCAGTGTCAACTAGATACACTTTTCTTTGATTCCGGACGTAATTGCTGTTGCATTATTGCTATTAAACAGTTGCCACATTCTACCCTGTAGCTGGCTGCATTTCAGTAGTGGGTGAGGTGATCCCTACTTATCTCTTAATTACCTCTGCTGTGTTTGGGTAGTCCATGGGATTATAGACCCATCAGACATTTCAGTACCTGGCAAAGTGGCTGAAAGGATAATTACAATTATAAAATACCTAGATGAACACAAACCAGCACACATCTGCAAAGCAAAATCAATCCTCCCAGTGTTTTTTAAACTTTTTAGACTCTGTACCCCTTTCCAAATAATGTAGTCTACTGCATACTGAAGGGTTAAAATCCATGTGCATGTTATATAACAACCTGGTATA